CCTCCTCTTCCTCCTTTCTTTCTCAGATTCAGTTTGAATTATTTTTAAAATTCACGCTTTTATATTAATCATATTATTGTAGAATAGATTACAATCTTGAAGGCTTTTTGTCCTCTGAGGTCTTTGAATTTCACGTGTGATCTTCAATGTCTGTGTGTTATGAGTTCTAGGTTTTTCAGCAGCTACCTCTGCATACTCCCTTTCTCGAGGATGATCCTTCAAACCCTTCATCAAACGTCAACTTGAAGGATCTGATCCGATCAGGTGTAGATCTATGCCCAAGACAACGAATGTCCACAACATGTGGGTCACCTCTTCCACTTTTTATTGATCCTCATATTTGGAATAATCCTTGAAAAATGTGTTACATTTATCAAGGTATTGACGTTAAAAAGTCTGGGGTTGCGCCTGGCTTTGCCCATAATGCTAATGTAATTCGCTGGCAGGAAGATAGGGTTAGAAACACCTTTTGATGATCGTTCTATCAGGCTATGGTAGGAGTCAAAGTCCATGTGAGTGTGTCCTTTAACTAGATATGTTCCACTGTCTGGCAGTAGATGACGGATGCCTGAAGTGAAGAAGCAAGAAGCGCAGATTCCAAGTTCATACAGAGATGGCAACAGTCTCGACTCCATCAGCTGAACCTTCAAGAGACAGTTGTTTGTCCATCTCTTTCTCAGAAAAAGCTCTTTCCTTCAGCCTCATGTGCTGTTTCATTGTCTCTTTGTCCATGTTTCCAACCCTGTGGGACTCTTCTACATCACACAGGCCCTTTCGGGGATGAACCAACGCCAAATTGTTGTTGTTATGAAACTACTTTTTGAACGCTGTTAGTCCCAGACCCTTGTGGCCCAGTTTCTCACCCCTTTTCAAGTACCCGTACTCTACCAGAGAACGAAAATGGAGGCCCTGATATCACTTTGCCGAGGTTTTTCGAAATAATAAGACGGAATTTCGATAATTTTCCAAAGATTCCATCTACAGGGTAACTTTCTTCTTTCAAACAGGAGGGTATATCTGCCTTTGGTAGTTCTGAATCTGACCCTAAAGAGTTAATGGAATTTCGAATCGTCCAGTCGCCTAAAGCTTGGGTATTGGTACACATTTTCATCAAACACACAACTCTTACTCCACCTTCCTTTCCTTTGGATGCTTGTGAAGTTGTCCACTTCGTCATCACATCAACCCTGTCAACTAGACAGTTGACGTACGCTTTTTTAAGTATCCTATGATAGTTACCACACATAGTCAAGGGTCACTGCTTTGTCTTCATCTGAACAAGAATTGCACCCCAACCTTTTGCAGGTGCGGTTGCAAGTTTCCAGAAGTTGGCGTGCGGGTCATTGGGGGCGCTAGGCAGAGACATAAAATTTTCCCAGACTCCCTGAGAAATATTTGCTCCTCTGCCAATTTTTAAAACCTTTTTTCACTGGTGTTGGTGTCAGGGTAGAAATTCTTCTTGGGCAGGAACAACTTCTGCAGTTGGCACATATAGAGTTGTCAGTACCCCGCTGCCCGCTGCAGAGATGACCATGCCAACAACTGATACTGATGGGTCTTTGGATGAGTCCATAGAGCCAACATCTGACACAAGAAGGGCAGTGTCACGAAATGATGCTGAGAGGATGTTGGCTGGGTCACTAGGTGATGCAAAGAGAATATAGTGCCAACAACTGGAGCCGGAGTAATGTCAGTTGTGACATCAGCATGATCAACTGTAATGACAGGGATGTCACACTGCAACGTTGGAACCGAAAGACCAGGATAAGAAGCCACCGCCTGGAGCTCTCCAGTAGTGGTTGAAGTTGGTTGAGTTGGGTCAAATGGGGTCACTGGCGCTTTTTTTTGTGGCGTTGAAAAGTAATCAATAGAAAACCCGACTTGTCAAAGCATGGCGCTGAAATATCTAATTCTGGTGTCTCGGGCAAGAAAACATTGTCCTCCATGTCTTCTATGGCACTTCCTGATATTTCAGCGGCAATGATTTGGAGGAAGACTTCCCGCCTTGACGGTGAGCAGATTTCGAAACTGACAACTGGACTAAACATTGACCCCAGCTGACGGGAAACATTTTTAGCGAAGAATAATACAAATGCACATTTCACTTGACAATAATGTTTTGAATGACCACTTGAGTTTTCCCGTGTGCGGATTTTTCCAGACACAATCTTTAATTTGGCCATCAGCACTGTTAATGGTCATACAGACCTGTCTTATACAGCATCACATTAAAAGCCTTTAGGCATCGGCAAAACGTGTTGTTTTGGTGGTTGCAAGGAAGAACAATTTGGGAAATCTAACATGTTTAGATGTTAACCTGTGATTGGTGTACGCAGACAGAACAGCTGTTTTACATGTCCATTCACAGATTTAGACCTTCTAAAGTTTTATGGGGCGTGGTATTTTAGTTTTGATGCTTTCAAATGTTCCTGCTCCTTGCAATGTATTATATTGACTTTGTTATTAGGGGAAAAGGCCGTGTTCAGTTTGAATAGTGAACAACGTGCTTTAAGGGTAAACATTAAACAACCATGGACCATAGGCCTATACGTACCTAATCCCTTCCTTCGCCAAGGTATAGGCTTCCCAATGAAACTATTACTTTTGATTCTGATTCACTATGCAAACAAACACAAACAAAATAAAACAAAAAAGACCCGCCGCGATACAGTTGTGTAAGATGGACCGTAGGGCAATACAATTATTGTTAGGCTATTACACTGTTTACCCGACGTAAGCGACGCGGTGCGACGGCAGAGCGGGAAGGGCCGCCGGGCACAAAACCACAAACATTTTTCACATGTGTCAAATATCGTTTGACTGGGACATAGCCAAAAAAGTAAATTTTGAAAAATTTGTCGCTTAGAAGGTTTGGGAACGACGGCAACGATATTCTGGAACGGGATAGAGCAATCCGCTATAAATGCAATCTATTATATTGTTTGTAATTTTTTCTGAAGTTTCAGTGTACACTAAACAATCCTAAGCATCCTTTGAAATTCAGTTTTTATCATTGGAAGACATTGGCTTTTATTTCAATTTCTTAGAAATAAAATAATAGCACTTTGATTGATCTTTTCCCGTAGTATTGTCAATGGTAAATAACTTTAAGTTTTAGATTGCATGTTGGCTAATTAGATACTTTTGCTTTTGTTTGATTCAGTTACTTTCTGGTATAATTATTTTTTTGGTTTTCAAATCCCTTTAAAAGGGACAGATTTATGATAAGGAATACTGTACAAAAATTTACAACGTCATGGAATCCTGTAAATAAATAAATAATTTTAAGAATGCTTTTAAAACAGATTTTACAAGACATATATATAATATGTCCCAATGGTACTGAAGGAAAAAGCTAAATTGTAAATATGGCCTTGTGTGTTATCCGAAATCTTCAAAAGAGAAACCATAAAATTATACACATTATATTTCCCTCAGGTCACAATGACATGGTCCGTTGTTTCTCCTGTGGTGTTGAACTCTTTGACTGGATACCTGGTGCTGACCCCCTGACCCAACATGCTTGTGCCTCTCCTGTTTGTTACTTCATGCTGCACAGCAAAGGTCAAGAGTTTATCAATAGTGTTCAACATCAAGAGGTAAGTTGTGCAACTTTTTATTGTTGTCTTCCATATTTTCTAACAGTAACTGAAAATGTCTTAACTTGAAATTTATATTCAGCTCAATAAAGTGATGATGCATGATATATTCTTAAAAATCAGTCTTTGTGAATGACAGGATTTTCCTCTGTCAGGATTTTCCTCTGTCTTAAGTTGAAACATTCCGTTGTCCCTTAGAAATTTTTTCTTGCTTTTGTGATTGTGGCCTTTTTAAAATGTGCCTCTCAGATTACTCTAAACAATGACTCATATTCATCTTAATGCGGTAGATCCTTCTACTGGAATTTACCGTCCCGTCATCTTATTAGTAAGCCTCCCTTTAAGTGATGTAGAAGACTACCCTTCTATTAAGACCGGTATTTTGATATTTGAAGGGTTAAACTTTTCACTCAGAGGATCATGGACATTGATTGTTCAAAGTGAACGTAAAATGAGCTTTTAAACTCTTTCTCTTTTTTTTTAAACAGTGTTTCTCTCATTACTAACTTGTTTTGTTTTTCTTATATTCTTTACTGCAGCTTGTGGTTGGCATGAAACAAGACAGTCAAGCTCAAGGTAGAGTTTACTTTCTTATACAATTGTTGTATGGAGCATACATGGATGTTTTTGTGTTTTTTCTTTCTCTCTGTTACTGTATCAATAACAAAGTTCTGAAGTTTTTATCCTACTAATTTCTATTTGTTTTGCTTTGTGAGCTTTTTTTTCTTACCAAAGGATTGAATTATTAGAACAGCTACCTTTTTCTTGCACATGATAATTCCCTCTTTTGGGATTGTAACAACAACACTATCTGGCGACAGTAAACAATGGCTGATCATTACATAATGAGCCAGAAATGACACCTCCAGGTTTTCCAGGTATCTGGATAGTTCTGTCTGGTGGAAAGTTTTCATGTATAAATAAATGAAAAAAGTCTGATGTTGTAAGTTTTGTAAATATTGTATTGTAAAAACGGGGACTGTCGTGGCCTAGAGGTTAAGGTGTTCGCCTCTCATTCAATAGGTCCCAGGTTCGAATCGGGATAGTGACGTAAATTTTTCTTATCTAAAATTGTCTCCTTTCACCTCCTTTCCTGCTTTCTAGCAATGTTCTGTCATCTGCTTTCGTTTCCACTTTCTGCCCCCACCCCTTCTCCCCCTCCACTGGGCTCCTGACTCTTTTGAGTCTCTCATCTTTTGGTAGGAAAAATCTACACCTAGCCATATCCGACATGGGCGAAAAATCTTGGTGGTTCCAATTGCAAGTTGCGCACGTTAAAGATCTATTGGTGGTCTGAAATCGATAAGAGTAGGCTTCAGCCGCCACCCGGGCAAAATTCAAAATTTACTACCAACAAAAAATGTTTAATGTGTCCGGTGCGCTCATATGACCTTATGCAGTTGCAAATGGCTATAAAACACAAGTTACCCAAAAAAATGTTACGGAAAAAATAGTAAAAATTCAGTTCTCAGACTGGGGTATCTGTAGAGAATGTAAGTTACTGTCTCAGTAAAAAGATTGGTGCATGTGTGTGTGTGTTTTTATGTTATCCTATTGTTAATGGTCTGCTTTATCTTTTAGTTTTATTGCCAAACCTTTTATAATTGTTTGATGCAATCAACACCTGTCTACCTAGTATAACAGCTATTTCAATGGACAGATGTTTTTTTCTTCAGTAATTTCATTCAAGTCATGCAAAATATACCATGCTGTATATTATAATC